GGTTTCCATTCTGCGCTGTGGACAGTGCGGTTGAACCATGTGGCCCAAAACCTTGATTGTCTGTCCAAGAAGTCCGGCCAATTTCCAGTCGTGATTGTTGGAAATATCATCGATGGTCGTAGCAGGGATAATTTTGAGGAATTGGAACGAGACATGGACACTCCGTTCAGGCAGAACGTCGAGGCCGATGGTGTCCGACGACTCAGAGTCGAGATAAATACCGTTTCCGAGTGGATCATCGACTTTGGCCTTTGCAACGCAGGAAAAGACGTCTTGATAAAATAATCATGATGTCAGTGTACAGGTAGCGATGCCATAAAGTGCTTTGCATCGCGTCGGAAGAGAGCGAGTGCGAGGTGAGCAGCACTTGAATGTTCCAGTTGCTCTGAGAGAAGTCGACACAAATGTAGGGGTCTCCCGTGCAGTAGTAACACCTAGGTTCGCGTGGGGAGGAGAAGGAGGCAGTGACCAGATATCCTTGAGCATGTACATCCTGTTTGTCTTCCGGATTAAAAACAGACCGGATGTGATCGACGGTATGGCCGGTAGACTGAAAATGAGTGCATATGATTCCAGGCTTGAGATCAATGCCAACAAGTACTTTATTAGCTTCACTTAAGTTCTAGGCGGTCCGAACCAAAACGAGTCTTAAGTTGTCATAGGACTTAAGTTGTGGCTAGTACACTGTAGAGCCCTGTATATACCTGCATACCTACCTTGCTCGGAACTTAAGTTGTCTCAGACCTTAAGTAGTCGGAGAACTTAAGACTTGTAAGTAGACAACCTAAGTGTAGAACTTGAGTTCGCCATTGCTGTTCAGTTCTACCGATTACTTAAGTCTCGAGTCCCAAACTTGAGTTCCCCCGAACTCAAGTTCTACGTTCTGCACACGGACTTGAGTTCCGCAGAAACTCAAGCTCTGTCTTGGGACTTACGTTCCGGCATGACTTGAGTTCTGGGACATTTTAATTTCATCTCACATGATGAAACAAATGAAACTCGTACCTCTTTGTCTTCGGTTTAGCTGGACTCTTCACAATGTACTCGTAACCGATAATCATCAGCGCTGCTAACCTCTATGCATGGACCTCAAAACTCACCTGGGCTTGACCTGAACTCGTTTGACGCTTGCCACCGACTTGCCACCGACCAAATGTTGAAGAAATTTGAAGTAGTGTACATAGGCCACGGTGCCCTGACAACGATTCAGCAGGCAAGATGGCAGCAGTGGTTGGAGAGGAGGGGGGATGAGGATGAGGTGGTCGTCTGGAGAGAGGGCTGCTTGTTTGTTGTTTGTCGTCTGCAATGCAACCGATTGGCCCATTGATTGGTTCAATTTGGTTGATGGTATGGTTTCCATTGTCTGACTTCGACTCCTTCACCACCACCATGCCACTGGACTCTGTCGCCGGCAACTACAATGGTCAACAACCTCCGACCATCCTCTTCTAAATTCTTTCCTCAAGAACACCACATGTGGATCTGCCTGGCACCCAACCACCTCCAAGTTATCGCAAACCGAATGTGCCACTGACACTAACCAACAACTCGGGGCTTACTCTTCTGTTGACTCTGGTGAGCTCTTGCCAGGTTCTATTTTACATCATGGCTTATTGGGATCTGAGGGACACTATTTGAGCTGGAAGCCGCCAAGCTCGATGGCATCATGCCACTTGGGTAAATGTTCATTTAGTGCAAATTTGGTGTGTACATCAAGACGATCATTTTATTTTTTCGTACTCACTGCGATCTTTGGCCATGTCTCACATGCTATTGAGCACATCCATTTCGCATCTCACTACATCTGGTGTGTCCCATCCTTGTCTACACGCCCCGGCCGCAACTCAATCATCCTACAGACCCGACATGTTGGTGGTGTTTTACTAGCCACAGTGAAACTTAAATGATTGGGTGTAACTCAAGTTTTCAATTCATTTCATTGCACTGACAGTCACACATGTAACTTAAGTGCTTTGTATAACTTGAGTCGTAGACAGGACTTGAGTGGTTGGAAGGGACTTAAGTAGTGGGCGGGGACTTAAGTGGTGGGCAGGGACTTAAGTGATTGCTACCTGAGGGCCCACATACGGGCGTGCGATACACCGCGCACGCAGAACTTAAGTTCCGGGACCACTTAAGTCTTGATTCGGTTCGGACCGCCTACAACTTAAGTGAAGCTCATCTTATTTCATATGCCAATGACCCTGATTCCCCGCTCGCGAACAAGACAATTCCTCCACCGTTTGACGTGTTTCGGATCCTTATCAGCCGATCGCCGACCATGAAGTGGAGGTCTTTGGGAAGGGGAAAGAAGTTGGATGTTTGCGTTTAGCAGCCGCTGTGGAAGAGGGAGATGCCCGGGACGTAGGTTCTTGATTTGGGTCGGTGATCCGATAAAGATAGAGTAGATTTTGTAAATGCAAGATGGGATATGGCGCTGAGACGTGGGGTACAAAAATGGCGTGAAGAAAGTGTGCCGGTAGCGTGTAAAAGTGCCGTGAAAAGAGAGCAAGTGAGAAACGAGATGAGACGAGATTCTTGGTGGCTAGGAGCCCACTGGCAGCGTTCCCGAATGGAAGGGGCGAGGAGCTTCGATGCTACCTCTGGGCGCTTGCCCTGCACTGGCTGCTAAGATGGTGGTACGAGGGTAAAATTGCACGGTGGGTCCGTGTTTACGGTACAAACAGATGTAACGTAAAATAGGGGCAATTATAAAATGTGAATAAAATGTAGGTAAATACCGATTTCCGCATGCGGGCCCTCCGACCCTGCCACACCGCTCTCCGCATTTCACCGTCCGAAGCAGCACAGCACTGTCCAATGCATACATGATGGGATTCAGTGTTCCTCGCCCGATTCGCGTTTACAATCACCAGAGACAGCGTGCAGAGTAGAGCCTTGTGTGCTCACTCTGGCCGCCACGGTGGCCTGTGTCAGTAACGCATCATGGTGATTCACATGCAAACCTCGACTGCACCCGTGCACTAAAACATGACGGCCATGGTCAAAGCAGTGTCTAGGACACCGCCACGCAGCGGCAGTCGGCCCGATCGCATCGTGCGGGCCCATTGGGCCCTGATCCCGGCCCTCGCTTATGCTCGGGCGCGCACTCGTCGGCTCTGCCTCCTGGTGCGCAGCGCTCGGGTCACCTTTTGTCGCTGCGCTCCAAAGGTGACCCTAATACAGAGCCTCGTCGGGCCAGCTTTTTTTTTCCTGCGGAAAAAAAAAACTGACTCTCCTCGTGGGGTGACAGGCTCGTCGTCGGTCCCACCATTTTTTCACTCCTCCTCAATACAGAGACACGCGTCAGAGCGGGGTTCGATTCCCCGTGTCCGTATGAATGGATCTCCTCTACTCTTTTTTTTTCTCGATTTGTAATGCCCGCCTCGCGGAAATCTTGTGAACGCGGAAAAAGATTCAATGGGGAGTCTCATAATATCAATGGCGTACTAGTGAGGCTGAATCTGTTGGGGGGCATCGGGCGTCTTGCAATTGTGTTCATTGGGAAATAATCTAATTGAAATCATGATATTGCAAAGTACTACGGCTTAGTGAGGTTTCTAGCAGTAAAAAGAATCGGGCATGGTGTACGGTACACCGCCTCTCGTCTTAGCCGAAAATTGCTGTATTGGAGGTAGAGCGGGGTTCGACTCCCCGTGTCCGAATGGAAGGATGAGCCATCTTTTTGAGGCCTTGTTCAACTTCAACTTCCTCGACGGCAGGGTGCGATCTAGAGAAAAAAAGGGTGTGCATGTGCTGGTGTTGAATTTTTTTGTGGGTTTGTTCTAATGATTTCGCTTGATCCCCAGAATATTGATAATTTCTTAGAGTCAAGGGGTAGAGAAATCGGATTTGGCGTATTAGTATGATGTACACAGTCGCGAACGACACAGGGGTGACAAAAGATTCGATATCAATAGGACTCGGAGGCATAAACGATTCAGAGGCTGAATCTTTCCGGGTATCTTGGAAGTTGGCTGTCCGTATTTTACTCTGTAGGCTGAGCCAAAAAGAATAGCTAACCTTGCGAGCTTCAAATGAGTGAAAAGAATCGGGCATGGTGTATGGTACACGGCCTCCCAACATGTGGGGATGGGCGAGATTGTTGAAAGCAGACCGGGGTTCGACTTCCCGGGTCCGAATACTTGGTGTAGACTCATCTTTTTGTTTTTCTCTCTATGTTCAGCACTGTGTCAGTAGATCCAAGAAAAATGTGTGTGAATTTTGATCCATCCGTTTTCGACCGAGCTCAAACCACGCCTCGTTGTGAGTGCCGTTCATAACTTACTTGAGCTTAGGGAGTCGAGTTGAACCGTTCGGGTATCTTGGGCGTTCACCTCATATTTTGACCGGCGAATGCTAATCTAGTGAATCAACTTTGTAGAGGTAAAAGAATCGGATATGGTGCAGGGTACACCGGTCTCGTATTAATATTTTGATCCAGTGAAAGCGTAATTCCTGGAGGCCCCCGGGTTCGACTCTCTGTGCCCGAATATGACCGCAAGTTTTCCTTATTTTCGGAGTCAGCTTGAGCCTATTGGCCTGCATGGTCAAATCCCACGGTACCACGACTCAAATATCTTCTGGGTTTCTCGCGGAAAGTGAATCCGGTTAGGGTGTTCCAAAAAATTGATAACCTAATTAACTTTGTGGGCTGAAAGCAATCGGACATGGTGTATGATACACGGCCTCCCTTCATAGGGGATATTAAGAAGAAGTTTGTTGGAGGCAGACCAGGGTTCGACTCCCCGTGTCCGAATGGTCGACATAGTGTATGTTGCAATTTATTTTTGGTAATGCCCGGCGCGCAGAAACCTCCCACTTGTGAGCGCGTAAAAGGTTCAATGGGGGCATACTACTAGTAGTGAGGTTGACCCGGGAGCATCGGGCGTCTCAGTGCAATTGTGTTCATTGTGGGTGAATAATCCAACTGCAATGTTCCAAAGTAATACGGCCTAGCGAGGTTTCTAACAGTACGAGGTTTCGAATAGTACGAGGAATCGGACATGGTGTAGGGTACACGGCCTCCCAATATATCATCACTGGTACACAAGATTGTTGGAGGCAGAGCGGGGTTCGACTCCCTGTGTCCGAATTCCGCTACCTGCATTTTCCTTATACTCGTAATGCTGGGCATGTTGCGCACTCTCAATATTTGCCAGTGTCTGAGCCGCATCGGCTTTGCAAGAATTTGATCATCCGATCCTAATGAACTTCGTAGGGGTGAAAGCGGTCGAACACGGCCTCCTAACATGAGGTGGTAGAACAAGATTGTTGGAAGCAGAATGGGGTTCGACTCCCCGTGTCCGAATGGTTGGGAAAGTTTGTGAGTTCCGCTGGACTTCGGTGAACGTCGTCACTTCCTCTGTGCTCTCAGCATACACACTGGGAAAGCTCGTAATTTGAACTGTGCTGTGACCAAGCTCACATGGGAGTGACCGTGCACGTGGATTAACTCTTGTGTCAGAGCACTAGCCTACTTACATGATTCACTCGACCTGTGCTCGTCCCAGCTCGAAAATATCAACCAAAATTCAACTGACACTTCTGATCATTTACTCAATGTGAGGAAATTACTGCCGGCACGATACAATGTTGAAGGAGAGATTGTATTCGACTTGTGTCAAAAGAATGTCTGGAATTGATTCCAAAGCTGAGAGCCTCCTAAAATTGATCCACTATCAAGGAGCGGCGGATCTACCTCCCATCGACTTTGATTGATGCACATATAGTCCCAGAATAAATGTCTGTTATATAGATCGACGGTGGAGACATAGACATTCGAGTTGCATTGTTGAGTAATTGATCTGCTCTGAACGATTCCTGGATAAAGTGTTGGTCTTGGCAATGAATTGTAGATGTGGCGGTTGAAGAAACTATATTTGAACCATTGACAGGAGAGATAGATATTTTGAACAACTCTCGAGTGACTCTCCGCACTCGTGGTCGGAGCATTTAACTTGCTTGAGTCACCCTGAGGTTGAAATATTGCAATTCAACTGTTAGGGTACATCATCGCTATCACAAGTCTCAAAGTTTTTGGCGGCCAAGCATGGCAGTTGATCTTGCGGAATTTTGGATTTAACATCCTGGGGAACGCAAGACTCAGGTCACTAAAACAATCGCGTCAATCACAGAATCTTGTCAAAAGGACCATGAGACTCGACGGTACTCTGGCTCCGATGATACTGTGGTCGCAAAACTATGTTTTTCGAAGCATAGAACAGTATCTACTGATGCCAAGTGGGTGTTCAAGCAGAGTTTACTCCGGACTTGAACCGTGGGAGCGAACCGGCTGGAGTAGCATGGGTGACGAGCCTTTAATTCCACGGACGGGAGCGATGACTAAATTGCAGGCGGCGGCGTAGAAATCAAAGGGATAGAACGGCTCAAAAATCAAGTGGAATGGGGGAGAAGTGGAAATGGCCACGAAACCGTGAAATAGCGTGATCGACCTTCAATGTGTGGCTCAATTCGGCGGTCATGACACGCTACTGGGGAGCCGCTGCCCCCGTAAGTCGCCGAGATGTCTGATCCACAGTCTAAATACGGGCAGTTTGCCCAACTGTATGACTGTACCGTGTGTTTGAATTGATTTAAATATACTGCAGGTATCTAAAGAACTAAAGAGTCATCCATTGCGAACCAATGGCATCTCAATGTCGGTAATTTGCTTGAAATCCGCTTCAGGGGTTCTGAGCACACCCCACCGCACTTGCATCAACCCTGACAGTTGTTAGAAGCTGGCATCCGGATAAAGAAGCACCGAACCTCCTGTTTGTTGAAATTGTACTCTGAAGCAAGGTTTAAATCTCATAGACGCGCCGGGTATCCATGGCTTCGTATCTGGACCAGGGAATGGGCAACACGAAAGGGATGATATAGTATTTTTGTGGTGCTCACTGAATAAAAGATTCAACCAGATCCATTGCAACCCCTTTCGATGCGCTGTTCGATACAGGCTAGACGTCTTTAACTGCTCTGCGATGTAGGCCTCAATCGCTACCAATGCGTCAGTATCTGTCAAGTATCGGAGACAAATATGAACGCACTCTGATGAGCCTTGCTCCCCAGTGCCCTCGTTGCTCGTTGACGGCGCTGTGGTCAATTGAACCTCTTTCAATGGCAGGAACTCAAGCGTCCGACATACTCTGCTCGGCTCCTCCGCGTTCAAATGTCTGGGTCGTGTTGTTGGTATCTTCTTCGTGGTTGGAATGAGCCGATTGAGCTGACAGAATTCGTTAGCTAGCACGTTGCAATCAATTTAATCGACATCCTGCAGTTGCGTCTGCTCTCCGTTCGTGTGATCCAAGTGCCCCGTGTAGTGTAAAAACACGTTGTTGGACGCCATAGCAGGCGGGAACGCGAACAGCGGTGGCGTGAGGATGGTGGTTAACGAAGACAGGCGGCTGTTCTGTTCCGCAAACCCAGCGCATGATCAAACAGCCAAAGTCACGAGAATTCACTGGAATTTGGTCGAGATAACAAGCTTTCCCAGAAGTGGTGGCTCTAACTAACGAACCTTCATGTTCCGTATCAAAGTCACGAACTTTCGCACCCCTAAGCAAAGTAACGAAGTGACGAAGGTGGGTACGCCTCCCCGGAGAACTCGGAGTTCTCGGGCCCGAGGTGTTTTGAAGCGGGGAGCCCAAATGCGGGAAGATCACATTGCGTCAGCGCGCGTTCTTGATGGAATTTTCAGAAAGAAAAAAAGGTTGGAGCAGCAATACCAAAATGTGCACATCATCTTTCTGGGCTATCTCGCATTTTTATTTTGTGAAAAAATATGCTCTCGTCGTCTAGCAGTGACCAAAAAACCCAGCGACCATCACTTTGTGCCATAATGAGTATTGCTGGTTTCAGAATGCAGCTCACTTGTGAGCTATAAGACGGCCAATAATGGTGCGCTTGACCTAATATTCCTATAGCGAATGGGTAATGATAATATGATTCAATTGAGGTTGAAAGTTTGAGAGTAAGTTGGCGGCATCAAGGCGTAGGGCAACAGGTCTGTTACACCTGCCACCAGTTCAGAGCTGCCTTTAATTGTGATTTTTTCTTTCTGAATTCCGTGTAAGCGGGGCATGGGAGCCAGGGTAAGGTTGAAAGGGTCGCGGAGGGAGCACAAAAAGCCTATGACAGGATCAGAATATTTGGATCTCAGAGAAGGTTTCAATTGGGCGGTGCAATAGGCTCCCCTCAGGCAGGATTGATATTGCCAGGTGAAACGACCCGTCGCCTCTATGATGTGATTGCCTTACGGAATTTTGGGTGGGAGAGCAATGCGGAGAGGTAAAGTGGGCCAAAAAAGGCTAGCTCTGCATGCAGTGTAAGTGGTTGGTGCAGTGGTTCCCAGGACTGTTTGGCCTGCCAAAAAAAAAGTACCTTGCTGACATTCTTCTTTAGACTTAAAACACTGCACCGAGGTAAGTTCCGCAAAGAGCTGTAATATATATATATATATTCGTAGTTGGAACTCAGTGTCTGTCTACAACTCAAGTAGTTTGTTTCTTATGTCTCATCAACTCAGTGGACTGGGCTGGCTCCCGTCTCAATTTCTCCAGCCCTGACACAATATTTCATGCCACACCTCCGTCACATCAGCTTGAGGCGTCGTCAAAATCTTGAAAATCTCTCAGGGGCCTGCGGCTAATGAGAATTGGACCTCAGCATAATAGATAGGTTGTGCAGAAGCCGCACAGGCCGCATCGGACATCACTATTTGCCATCAATGGCAATGCGAAAGGATGTTTGTGTGTGTTGATCTCAGATGACGGCGACAACCAGTGTCCAAATCGGGATATCACCACACAGCAAGAAAGAAAAGTAAAGTAAATCCAGATTCATTATAGAAGAGCAGAGATGAAGATGAGGATTGGACACTAAAGGTGAGGCACATGCAGCGCTGTGAGCGAAAGGAGTCACCGAGTTCATACAGTAAAGTGGGGGGTGGTGGTACCAAGGCGACCCTTGCCCGACAAACGACGGATTCCCAACCTACTGCGAAGAAGTATGATGCGGGCTCTGGGAGCTCCTCCCGCTACCGCTCCAGAAACACATCTCGGGTTCGAAGACCGTCCGTCGCGAGAGCAGGCACGTCGACGACGCCTAGAGCTGCGAGGGGCACGAACCCTCGTCTCGAGCTTGTGGGTATCGGCGCCTTGCTCCTGCCGCGCCACTCCACGCCCATACAGCCGTCATCTCCGAGTCAGCATCAGCGTACGCCCACTCCAGAGAACGCGGGCGACCTCCACATGCTCGGCCCGGGAGGTGTGCTGAGGGTAGTCGGCGCAATCCTTCTCTCCCATCGTCCTGACGTACAGCTTGTGTAGATTTTTGACGATCGCATCTTCCGCACTGATGTGGGAAAGCGAGAGCGGAGGTGGAGAACATGACATCGTGTCGCGAGGGCGTCGAGGCGAAAGGGGAGTTGTAGGGACCTCAAGGAGTGGAAGAAGCGGGAGTGGTCGAGCTCGAGAGGATGCAGCACCGTGACGGTGAACGGCGTGTGCTCGCTGGGGAGGTGGTCGGCAAAAGAGCCCAAGAATAGCAAGACGAGGGTTACCATGCCTTCTATCTCCAAATCACCGATCTTCGTGCTGGGACCCCGGCGACGTCGCGCCCCGGGAACACGGGCTACTGTCCCAAACGCCGATATCCGCGTGCAGGGGGCGCGCATCGTGGTATACAGGTGGCCTCCCTCCCCGACATACAGCTGGTCTTGAATCTCGAGGCTCGGTCGCCGACGCTAATATGGGAAGGGAAGAATTGCTCCAGTATATGACACCGCAGTGAAGGAAGGCGGCGAGGGGAGGGAGTTAGCGGGGTGGGGTGGGTCGACGACGATCGCGATCTTCCAAAGTAGCGTGTCTGTATTTCGTCACTGTCAGTTAGGATTGAAGGTAAAAAGCAGGGAGGGGCGAGCAGGCGAACTTACAGACAGAGGCGTCGTGAAGCAGTGCTTGCGATCACAGTGGGCACTCGTTTCCCCGCCTCCCGCTGTACACCACGTCCCGTCTTGGCTTAAAGCTCGGTCGTCCGTTCGTGGAACACGTTGACGTGAATTGAGTCGAGAAAAGGACATGTAAGGCCGAC